CAATTTAATAGAAGCAGATAAAGAGCCAGATTACATAGCACTAAAAACATGAAGCATTGCCCTTAGCCCATAAAGTCTACAATTTTGATTAACATAATCAAGTTCTTTCATTAGCACAGTCTATACAATTGCTATATACAAGGGGGGAAAGAGGAGATATGAAGAAAAACATGAATTCATAACAACTAAAGAAAAGGAAACATATGGCTCCAAAATGAGAAGATTTTCCCAAAATATGAATATTAATAAAAAGTAGATATAATTGGTCGGTAGTGAAGCTATTGAAATCATCCATTAGCAACTACAATTTAAAAGAAGCATAGAAAGAGACAGATTAATATATATAAAAACATGAAGCATCCCATAGCAGATACAACTAGCTAGAGTTAACACATTATGATCAACATAATGAGCAAAAACATCCATTCTAAGAAGTAGCTAAAGAAAGGGGAACATGAGAAGATATTCACAAAATAAGGGGATAAATGTATTAATTTCAAAATATTCAAGAAAAAGAAAACATACCATCTCAGTTCTTAAGCTAGTGAAGTCATCCATTTCAATAAAATCATCCATTGGCTTCTACAATTTAAAGCAGCAGATAAAGAGAAAAAACATTATAATCAACATTATGAGCAAAAACATTTATTCTAAGAAGTAGTTAAAGAAACAGAACAAGAGAAGATATTCACAAAATAAGAGGGTAAAAGTATTAATTCCAAGTATTCAAGAAAAAGTAGACATACCATCTCAATGCTGAAGCTAGTTAAGTCATCCATTTCAATGAAATCATCCATTGGCTTCTACAATTTAATAGCAGCAGATAAAGAGCAAAAACATTATGATCAACATAATGAGCAAAAACATCCATTCTAACAAGTAGGTAAAGAAAGAAAACATGAGAAGATATTCACAAAATAAGAGGGTAAAAGTATTAATTCCAAAATATTCAAGAAAAAGTAGACATACCATCTCAGTACTGAAGCTAGTTGAGTCATCCATTTCAATGCAACCAACCATTGGCTTCTACAATTTAATAGAATCGGATAATGGGCAAAAACATTATAATCAACATAATGACCAAAACATTACGATAGTGAGAGAGTTAACACATTAAGATCAACATAATGTGGAAAAACATCCATCCTAAGAAGTAGCTAAAGAAACGAGAACCTGAAAAGATATTCACAAAAGGGTTTTCCTAACATGTGCCTTTTGGAGATAGATTAAGGGGGTTAAAAATACATATTTTCATTGTAAATTTTTGCATTGAAAATTAAAAAACTGATATTTAATTTATCAATTACCTAATTAAATTCATCAACTTGGCATTAACACTAAAATTAATATTAACTTTTACATTTTTTCTTTATGAATTTATGACAAAAAGTTGTCATTAGCACAAATGTTAGAAAAACTCTTCACAAAATAAGAGGGTAAAAGTATAAATTCCAAAAATTTCACGAAAAAGTAGACATACCATCTCCATACTGAAGCTAGTGAAGTCATCAATTTCCCTATCCTGTTCGGGTAGTCCCGAGCTAGGACATCCTCGATTCCGTTTTTTAGAGGGAACAGATGGTCCTGGTTTATTTATAGTCTTCACGTCTTCGCGAAAACTAATCCCTCCAGCTCCTTCTTGTTTAGGGAGTTCCCCCTTGGAAATGATCTGTTTTTTGGCATGAAAACGGGCTCCTTTGCCTCCTGTAGGCTGCTGAGTATTCTGTTCCTCGCCAGCCATTTACCTCTCCGTACAGTTTCTGCAAAACAGAGGAAAGGAAAAAAAAAAAAGGGGGAAATTTGTAAATCTAGTTGGCTCAGCAACCAAAAGAGGAGATCCCAATTGCATATCTAGTAACAGCAAGTAGAATTCAGTAAAGAAATAAAAAAGACAGTTCAAATCATCGGGCCAAAAACCCAGAAAAAGAT